CTTGCCAGGGGTGAGAAGGCGTGTGAGAGGAGCGGCCGTTCCCCTCAGAAGCGCGCGCACAAAACAAAACAAGCAACAAATCATATTATCCAGCGTGGACCCCACGCAATCAGTTATTGAACTTTGGATATGTACGCAAGCTGTGTTATTACGCGGCACAAGCCATGCGGTGTAGCCGATGCAGTGCAAGCTATGTGGTGCAATTGATTTTCATCCATGATTTGACACTCTGGCAAACATCCCACCCACCCACCCGCAACTTGGTTTGCAAAACCTCTTAAAACCGACTACGACGACACCGACGACAACGACTACGACGACACCGACGACGTCTCCGACGACTTCGACGACGACAACGACGCCGACGCCGACGACGAAGACGACGACGACGACGACGCCAACGAAGACGACGACGAGGGAGGAGGAAGGACGACGACGGCGACAACGACGACAACGACGACAACGACGAGGGAGGAGGGAGGACGGCGACGACGCGAACGACGAAGAAGGAGTAAGGACGGCGACGCCGACGACGACAACGACGAGGGAGGAGGGAAGACGACGACGACGACAACGACGACGACGACGGCGACGAAATAGGAGGGACGACGACGAGACGCCGACGACGGACGACGACGACGACGACGAGGGAGGAGGAGGAAGGACGACCACGGCGACAACGACGACGGAAACGACCACGACGCCAAAGAGGACGACGACGACGAGCACGAGGAAAGACAGAGGACGACGTAGGCGACGACGACGACGACGCGAGGAGGGAGGACGGCGACGACGACGACGACGCAAGAGCGCGCGCGCACGCTTTTGTTGAAAATCCGTGTTGCGAAACCTTGTGTTTCTGTAGGTTTTTTGGACACACGATTTTGAAATCCTTCCGAAACCGATGGGATTTGAAGGTTTTCGGCATACGCGCGCGACGACGCGCGCGTCTGCACTTCGTCCCATTTTTTGCAATGGATTGTCGCGACGGCACACGCGCAAGGGCGTTCGACAGATTTCGACATGCGCGCGCGAAGCCCGTTTAATATCACTTTGTGAAAATCTTGAAAATCCCATGGTTTTCTCAAGATTTCGCAAGAGCTCGCGCGGAAGCTTTTTTAGCAAATCAGTGTTGCGAAACCCTGTGTTCTTGTGTTTTTTAGAAACTCGACTGCGAAATCCTTCCGGCACCGAGGGTTTTTGAAGGATTTCGGCATGCGCGCGCGATGACGCGCGCGTGTGCACTTCGTCCAATTTTTTTGCAAAGGATTCGTGAAAAAGTTATGTTAGAACAAAAAATGTCACCGCATAGTGTTTTTTTTGCAAGGGAGCCTCAGGGGGGGGGATACCGGCTGGCCTGGGACATTGTGATTTCATATTTAGGATGGACATATGGTCATAATCATATATGATTTACATACCCGAAAGGGGGGACCGATTATGCCGGGGGGGGGGGTAGAGTCAATTCTCTTTGTAGAATGGAGAATCTATGTGGTCAACCTCAGCGGATCCCCAAAGCGCGGTGGGCGGCAACGAGGCGGCAACGCGCGGCGACGCCGCGAAACCGCGACGGAGCTCCCCAGGCGGGCGGCGACGAGGCGGCAACGAGGCGGTGATGCGACGAGACCTCGACGGACCACCCCCACAAGTGGGCGGCAACCAGGCGGCCGCGGGCGGCGACGCGGCGGAAGCTCGACAGACCCCCCGAAGCGGGCGGCAACGAGGCGGCAACGGGCAGCGACGCGGCGACGCTTTGACGACCCCCCCCCCGAGTGGGCGGCAACCCGGCAGCAGCGGGCGGCGACGCGGCGAAATTTCGACGGCGACGGGGCGGCAACGGGCGGCGACGCGGCGATCCCTCGACGGACCTGCCCCAAGACGGCCCAAGAGGCCTCCAAGACGCCGAAGGTGGCCTCCGGGACGGCCCTGGAGAGCGCCCCAAGACGGCCCCAAGTCGGTTCAGACAGGCCCCCAAGACGGCTTCCGACGGCTGCAGACGGGCCAGGAACGCCCTCAGACAGCCAAAGGGGCCCCGGATAAGCCCCCAAAGGCCCCCAAGAGGCCCCAGGAGGCCCGCAAGATGCCTCCCAGAAGCTTCCAGGAAGCTCCCAGGAGACCCCATGAGTGCCCCAAGAGTCTTCTAAGAGGCGTCCTCCTCCTTCTTCTCCTCCTTCTCCCCTCTTCCTCCTCTTCTCCTCTTCCTCCTCCTCATACTCCCTTTTCCTTTTTCTCCCCATTCTCTTCCTCACGGGTTCCCCGAAATGTTTTAAGGACGGCTCGGAAAACACAAGGTCCGATAACTCTAGCCCAACTGTCGGCCACACAGGCGCTTCCAATTACGCTACCGAGGAACCCCACATACTTATGTTATGGCTGGAGTGATGATAGCTGAAGTGAAGCATGTGAGAATGATGTTGGTGGCCATTCCCTGCGCACCCCCTATGGTGTCGAGAAAGTGCCACGCCTGTTGCGCCCTGGACGACTGGCTCGGATAGCGGCCGCACTCAGAGACCACCACCTGCGGACCCCCTAAGGTTACGAGAATATGCCACGCCTGCTCCGCCAGCGTTCCCCTGTGCCCTGAGCACGACCGGCACGGATAGCAAACTTGCGTAGCGATGTGCCCTGAGCACCGCCGTCACGGATAGAGGCCGCGCTCAAGGACCACCCCGTGCGCACCCCCTGTGGTGTCGAGAATATGCCATGCCTGCTATACCCAGGCCGACCGTCACGGACAGCAGCGCCCGGGACGACCGGCACGGATAGCGACCGCGCTCAGGGACCACCCCCCTGCACACCCCCTATGGTGTCGGGAAAGTGGCTGCTATGCCCTGGACGACCGGCACGGATAGCGGCCGCGCTGACGGACCACCTCCTGCGCACCCCCTATGGTGTCGGGAAAGTACCACTCTTGCTATGCCCTGGACGACCGGCGTGGATAGCGGCCACGCTCAGGGACCACTCCCTGCGCACCCCCTATGGTGTCGGGAAAGTGCCACGCCTGCTATGCCCTGGACGACAGGCACGGATAGCGACCGCGCTCAGGGACCACCCCATGCGCACCCCCTCTGGTGTCGGGAAGCAGCCACGCCTGCTCTGCCCTGCCCCATGACCCGCATAGACGCCGCGCTCGGGGACCACTCCCTGCGCACCCCCTCTGGCGTCGAGAAAGCGCCACGCCCGCTATTCCCTGCGCAATGGCCCGCATAGACGCCGCGCTCGGGGACCATTCCCTGCGCACCCCCTCTGGCGTGGAGAAAGTGCCACGCCTGCTATGCCCTGCGCCATGGCCCGCATAGACGCAGCGATCGGGGACCACCCCCTGCGCACCCCCTATGGCGTCGAGAAAGTGCCACGCCTGCTATGCCCTGCGCCAAGGCTCGCATAGACGCCGCGCTCGGGGAGCACCCCATGCGCACCCCCTATGGTGTCGAGAAAGCGCCACGCCCGCTATGCCCTGCGCCATGGCCCGCATAGACGCCGCGCTCAGGGAGACGCCGCGCTCGGGGACCAGCGCATCCCCTGTGGTGTCGCGAAAATTGAAATTGCCAGCGAAATATCCTCACCCCCTGCGGGTCGTGCTGTGCTTTGCTATGTTGTGCTGTGCTGTGCTGTGCTGTGCTGTGTGTGCTGTGTGTGTGTGTGTGTGTGGGTGTGGGTGTGGGTGTGGGTGTGGGTGTGGGTGTGGGTGTGCTGTGCTGTGCTGTGCTCTGCTGCGCTGTGGTGCGCTGTGCTGTGTGACGCGGGAGAGGGTGTGACTGAAGAACGCGGGTGACGCGGGTGAGAAGAAAACCAGACCCCCACGAAACATGTGGGGAAAAATGCAGGGGGCGGCGGTGATTCGCCTTAATCGTCTTCGATAAAGCGTTAAGGGACCCATGCCCAAAATTCCCACATGTTGCACAGTTTCCCGCATGCCGGGGCGTGTTCCCGCGCGATATTTCCAGAGCCGAGAGGGCCCAAGATGGCGCAAGGCTGCCTAAGAAGCCCCTAAGTCGCCGTAAGAGGGCTCCAGAAGGCCTCAAGAAGGCCCAAAGAGCCCAAAATCGTCACGGCACGGTGGCGGGATGAGCCGAAGGCCACTAGGCCTGTTGGCACGGGGGCGGAAAGCGCAACGTCGGTTTCTGATAGCGCGAGATCGCTGGCTCGTCCGTTCTTCCTACTCTTACGTCCTCCCCTCCTCTCGCTCTTGTCACATCCTTCGGGAAACTTGGGGCCCCCTTGGGCCGTCCTGGGAGACAATCGGGCTGTCTTCGGGCCGTCTTGAGCCGTCTTCAGGCTCTTCAAGAAAGATGTCAAACGATGTGAGAAGCATCCTTTACACCATGAGACGTTGGAGAGTTCTGATATGTGTTCAGGGATGACCCCAAGGGGATCGCCCTTTTCGGCAATCTCGAAAGCGCTCTTGGACCAGTTGGACTGGCCGCTGTCCGAACGCAATGCTCTCCCCATTTGGACCGCCCGCTTTACAGAACGTGAGTGTTTTCTTATTCGACGTTTCGACATTGGGCGGAAAGGGGGGGGGGGAGGGGAGAGGGGGTCTGGCTCCGGACCTCTGCTTAACGCGACTGATTGCAACAGTGCGTCCTATGGGGGAAACTCCGCCTGCTCGAAACAGGCGCCAAAAACAACCAAGATCTACTCCATGGGAGGGGGAGGGGGGGGGCACGAGGGTCTGCTCCGATTGGCACAACAACGAATAAGAAAACGATCACAACCACGTGCTTCCCAGTTTGGACCGCCCGCTGTCCGATCGTCGCGTTTTCCCAACTTGGACCGCCCATTCGTGCCCGGAGCTGTCACAGGGAGAGCGTGCGGAATCCTTGTGTTCTCGCCCCGCTGGGGCCGCTCGCTCTTCGGAAGCATCATGCGCTTCCCCGTTTGAGCCGTCCGCTATCCGAGTGTCGTGTTTTCCCCGTTTGGAGCGCCCACTATCTAGAACCATGCGTTTTCCCAATTCAAGCATTGGGGACTTTCGGACCGTCTTGGGGCTCTCTTGA